AAATTTAACCAAGATGGAAGTTCTATACAATGAAAACTGCAAAACATTAATTAAAGAAATTGAAGCTACAAATAAATGGAAAAATTTTCTATGTTCATGAGTTAGGAAAATTAATATTGCTAAAATGTACATACCAATCAAAGCCATCAACAGATTCAAGTAAATTAAAAATGTCAATAATATATTTAAAAAATAGAAACAACAATCTTAATATTTAGTTGGAACCACAAATGACTCCAAATAGCCAAAGCAATCTTAAGAAAAAAAAAGTGGAGGCATCACACTGATATATATATATATATATATATATATATATATATATATATATATATACACACACACACATATATATTATAAAGCTGCAGTAATCAAAACTGTATGGTGCTGGCCTACAAATAGGCAATGGAACAAGGAGCTCAGAAGTAAACCAATATGTATCCAGTTCACTCATCTTCAATACAGCCAGAATACACAATGGAGATATAATAGTCTCTACAAGAAATGGGTGGAAAACTGCATATTACCCTGCAAAAGAATGAAATGGGACCSTAAACAGCAGGCAAAACACAAAAAGAATTTCCAAATGGATTGAAGAGTTATGGTTAAGGCCTATAATTGTAAAAAACATAATAGGAATCACAGGGATACAGCTGCTTGATTTTTTTGTTTGGCAACTATTTCCTAGCTATAACATAAAAAGCACAAGCAACAAAAGCAAAAAAATAGACAAGTGAGACTCTATCAAATCCAAAAGCTTCTGCACAGCAAAGGAAACAATCAACTAAATGAAAAGGTAGCTTGTAGGTTGGGAGACATCATTCATTTTCCCTTATCTTTTACTATTATAATTCTGATTTTATTCAGGACAGTAACCAATCTACTAAACCACTACCGACCAATCAACCCAAGCAAATAAAYCAATTTCTCAATTTTCTATATTCTCTTGCCATATGATAAAATTCCCTTGAGATATAATCCATATTTGGGGGAAGATACACATTCTGAATAAAATGGAAAATTTCCACATGGAAAGGATACAATGTTTAAAGATATAGAAGCTATTTTATAGCCCTGACATTATAAATAAAAAAGCAAAAAACTACATTCTCAAGGTTGTAAAAGAAATTAGAAAGAGCCTGAGACCCTGAGGATCCATTTTTATGCCTTTCCTATCTTCAGCTCTATATCCTTTAAACTTCCTATTGTATATGAAAATAGTGGATTCCTAATAGATATATTGATACTTGTTGGTTGCTCCAAATAGATACTAAACTCTTTGGGCCAAGAGTTTTATTTGACTTGTTAACCCTTGTAGCCTTATATCATATTTTCTGAACTTTAGCACTTTTGATCTTTTGACTAGATAATTTCTTGATGTAGGTCTGTCCTATACTTTATAGGCTAGTTAGCAAAAACGTTGGCCTCTAACCATTAGATGCTAATAAAACTGCCAACCCCTGCTATGGCAGCCAAATGTCTCTCCCAACCTTGCTACATGTTCCCTTGGGAAAAATTACCCTCCAACWGAGAATCATTGCCTTAGATGATAGGTTTAGTGTTTAGCATATAGCATCAATAGATATTGGCCATATTAACAAAAATATTAATTAATTTGACCAGATAATTGAAAAAATAGTAGAATTTAAGGGTGCCTTCCAAGTTTCTCACTTGGTCTAGTAATTATATCACTTAAGATGAAGTTGCATATTCCAAATTTTTGGTATTTCCTTGAAAGTGGCCTTAGAGTTGAATAAATATTCCAGATGTGACTTGGGCATCTCAGATTTCTGCTTATGTATTAATGAAGTTCAGTGCACAAGCAATACACCCCTTTGTCGGTTGCATACACATTTTCCTTTTTATTGTCTTACACTTTTTATTATATAGCAAACTTGAAATTCACTAAAATCTTCTGGTTATTTCKTCAAGAATCATGGTAGTTCCTTCTTTCCTCTACATGTATTTTGCAGTGATATTTCTGAATTATTATATTCTGCATTTTTTTCTTGTGAAATTTCATCTGTATTATTATATTTAATTTGTCAATATTGTTAAATAGTTTTTCTTCTTATTACATGTTAGCTCTCTGCCCAACATCATTGTACATTGATTGTTCAATGGATAAAATTTTTTCACCAGAATTCAGCAAAGAACAAAGAATATGTAGCATTATTGACACTTCGTGAATGGTATTCAGAACTTTAACAGCCTCAAACTTCTCTTTTTTCCTGTATCTAATTTTTAAAGTTCAAGGATTTGTATGTTTCTACTAGCTCTGAAATCTGCTTCTGGGAATAAAGACAGGATATAACTCTGGGCTACAAACATAATCACTTTTTATTTTTGATTGTATAGGAAGATCCATTTGGGCATTTTTTTCTCACTCCATTTAAACCATAAAGCTGAGTTCAGTTTGTGCATTGGCATGCAATTGGTATTTATGTAACTGGAAAGAGTAAATTTAAAGTGGTGTGAAATTTGGTTTCCAGTGAGTGCATAATAATACCAAATACTATGTTTTATAGGAGAACTGGAGGACTAAGAACAATGAAAAAAATTCCAAGGCAACAGATGAGTATTATTTGTTATGAATAATTTACCTTATTATAGGAAGAGCAATGGTTGCCCCATCAAGATAACTCATAAGGTATTATAGAGTAATACAATAAATGAAAGTCCTTGAATGTAAGAAAAATACAGTGACACACTTCACATGAATCATAATATAATAAGTGCAGCTTTCTCTTAGAGTTATTTGCAATTAATGTTTATATTTGGGTCCTCTTCTCTTCTCCCACAAGCTATTACATATTAACTAGCCTGTTAGTCTCTACTCAAACAGTTCCTCATCAACATTACGGGTATCACAACCACCATTATCTTTCTAAAACATAGCTTATTTATGACTTTCTCCTGTTCTGCCTTTTCTGTAGAATGAATTCCAAACTCTTTAGTATTGCATATAGGATATCCTGGTTTTAGTCCCAATATATCTTCCTATTCCCCTCCACGAAATCTATGCTCTAACCACACTGACCTACTTTATATTTTTGAATGTTCCATGCTCTTTCAAACTTCTGTGCCTTTACTCATTTTGTCACTTCTGAACAGAATGCCCTTCTCTACTTTATATTTGGTAAATCCTTTGGCATTCATTGAGGCCCAAGTCAAATATGACCTTCTCAATTTTACAGTCCTGATTTTCTCCTCCAAAATTCCATTGTGCCTTGAACTATCATTCATACTTAGTATATGCTTAATAAATGTTTCTGGAATAAGTAATTATTAAATATCCAAAACTATGAAGTGGGGGTGTTCAGTTTCATTGCTGTTCTATGTAAAAAATAAATCTTACAGTTCACAATAATTTCTCTGAAAATCTATGAATATATAGCATGTTGATAAATCAAATGTATTTCTAAAAAAATTAATTGAGTAATGATATTTGAAAGTTTTAAAAATCCTATTTTTATATCAAGCTCTTTAATATATTTTGTCTGTTTATCTTATGTACATAGCCTTAGGATTGGTTAATATAAACAAAACTAGTAACAAATTAGAGTCATATGACTTTAATTTTGTTTCTGTATATTGATTTGGGAATATCAAATTAGCCATTTTCTAAAGGTTAAGGTTATTATAGTTAGTATTTATTTTTTCCAATTTTAATTTTAATGTTTGTTCATTTATGATCAATGTATACAGTTCATYTTGGAAATATTATTTTATAGAACACCAAAAGAGAAAAAGTACTTCAAGTTAGAACAGAAGGAAGGGCTGGGAATGTGACTCAGTGGTAGAGCGCTTGCATAGCCTTCATGAGGCTCTGGGTTCAAGCCCCAACACCACGAACAAAATAAAAGCAAACAAACATAGAAAAACAGGGGAAAATAGCATAACTGCAAAACTGGATAGAAGCAGAGAATAAAATAAATAATATTTTATTTTGAAAATAAATACAAGGTTGGCAAATGATAATACATGCTATTTGACTGAAATACAGAGAACAGAACACTRTCTGTGAATACTAGGAAGCATGTTCTCTACTTTTATGCTTTCTTTGTAGACTTCTAAGATGCTAGAAGTGGTATTAAGAGCTGAAATGTATGAATGGGTAGTGAATTCCATTCCCTTTCAGTGAATTGGAGGTAGGGGGACACAGTGGTAAACGGACAACAACAGCCCTATCTCTCCAAAGTGTGACAAAGACTGTGATTTTGTTTGGGCCTTGAACCTGACTATTATGGTTTAGATATGAGGTGTCCCCCCACATGCATGTRTGAGACACTGCAAGAAGATTCAGAGGTAAAATGATAAGATTATGAGAATTATAACCTAATTAGGGGATTAATCCTATGAGTTTACTGGGTTATAATTGTAGGCAGGTAAAGTATGGCTGGAGGAAGCAGATCACTGGAGGCTATATATTTGGAGTTTATATCTAGCCCTGGTGAGGGAATTCTTTCTTTGCTTTCTGGTTGCCATGTCCTGAGTTGGCCAACAGTGAACTGAACCTCTGAAAAGCTGAGCCAGAATAAATTTTTGCTCCAGTAAGTTGTTCTTGTCAGGACTTTGGGTCACAGAAATGCAAAACTGACTAAAACTCTGAGACTAAATAATATAAGCTGAAACCAAATGACAACACCAATTTGAAAAAGTGAATTAAGATCTCATTTATTTATAACTCCACATAATTAATTTTGATCAATAAATGTGGCTGCCTTTATATCTGTGGGCCAATATCAAAAATGAAAATACATTTGCGTTTTAAAAGTGTAGAAATGCCCACTCATGTATTTTAAACAGAGATCTTATGTCAAACTTTATTTATATTTAAAGCATAATATCTTATATAGTCAACCTTTGAAGCATGCTAAAGATCATCACACTATCCCATCAAATATTATAGAATTGGTTCAGCCTACTATTTTAAATAGAGCTCATAATTATAATCTATTGAAAAGAGTCCAAATTATTCTTCTCTGCTCTGAAGAATGATGCTTTAATCTAATATACATCTGTATAACAAAGAAAATAACAGAGTAAAAGAAAATACAGTTAATAAGTCAATCTACTATTTTTCAAACAGGATTTTCTCTGATACTAATGCATACAGGAATAGGTTTCTTGTTATCAGACCCTGGACTGATTAGGATTCTGGATTTTTTCATATTCGTCAGCATAGTGTTGATACTGATCAGTGAGGAGAGGCTGATTAGCTTCATCCATTTTGTTTCTGGCACGAATCAGACAAGAAGCACCCACAAAAACAACTGCCACCAGTAATAAAGCAGCAATTACTGCTATGGTAACAATCTCAGATATACTGAAATCCCGACCTATTTGAAAAAGAAAATGAGAGTTAAAAATATATTATTAAAATATTTGTCACTAAAACATGGACAACTTGAATAAGGTATTGTTGTAATCACTTTAACAGAAATCTTCAAATTTAATTTCAATGGACCACATTGCTTAATCCAGCATTTGTAATCTGGAAGGCACTTTCTAACTTCTTTAGTAGTCTACAGTTATTTTCATTTATTTAGTTATTTTCATTTAGTAATCTACAGTTATTTTCATTGGACAGTTATTTTCATTTCCATTTTTAAGTTGAAGAAATGATGCTTGTTGAGATTTAAAATTGAATAGGAAAGTTTTGAATTTCAAAATCTCAGAAAGAAAAGCTTAAGAATATCTTGATCCCTCTTCATTTATAAATATAAGCTGACAACTCATTCTTCCCACTTAATGGAAATGAGATCTCTGACAATCAAACCTCTTTAAACATCAGCTTCTTTAATTGTGAAGCAAGAATTGTAATACTTACCTCAAAGACTTGTGAAGATTTAATGAGACAGAGTGCTGAATAATCAGCTCAATAGCACATCAGAGTGAGTTCTCAATAAATGTTAAATTCCATCTCTTTATCCCCAGACAAAAGTCCAAATGAAAGTTTCATATCCAATGAAAAGGTTTGCTTCAGAATATTGTGATTATTTTACTTTAGAGACAACAAGCTTGCTTTTGGAAAATACCACATTAAAAATACATTTTTAACACTCACTTGGCCATTGAACTTCATAAGCATATCCCAGGTTGTCTGGAGCAGTAACAAACATCTCTGTGTTGGTAACTGGAGGCCAGAATGGCACCATATTGTACTGTCTGTTATGTCCAATAGGAGCATTTTCCAATGGGAATGTGGATATATCTAATATATTCCAAAGACAACTGGTTAATAAATATGAAGTTAATATTAATGTGATTGTTATATTTTTAGGTGTTCAATATTAACAGAGAATGTAAAAAATGTTTTTCATATTTCACAATGAATTAAGACATAAAATTTCACTATAGTAGAACAGAAAACTACATAAAACGGTTCACATGCTTTGAATGCACATAAACATATCATTTAATACACATGTAAAATCTTTATGAACAGAGGAATTTTAGTATCATATTATCTATGATGATTATAGTTATTTTATTTTTAAAATTATGGCAGATAATTTAAAATGCATAAAACATTTTTCAAAGTCAAAGAAAAGATACATCTATGACTTACTGTAGTGTCATCTGTATTTCAAATTTGAGAGATGATGTATTTATTGGAGATTGTCCTTAACAACAAATTTGTTTGATATTTTTCATTTCTTTATGTTTTCTTTTAGAGAAATCCATATTAATTCAGGTTTTTATTGTTATCAAAAAATAATTAAAAATTTTCATTAAGTTCCTGCAATCTAATTTGCTTCATTCCCTCTCTCTTGTTTCTAAGTATAAGGTATTTATATATGAGGCATTTATATCATTAACATTATCATTCATTAGTGAACACATATCATTCATTAGTGAATTTCTTTCTTTAGGGATAAAAGAAATAATCGGTTCTTTGGGGCAAAAGGTTGTTCTTTGTTTTGTTGTTCTTTGTTTTTCTCTATTTATATGGGATTATAATTAAATACCAAATGGAATGTCACTAAGTGGGCTTGTGCAGGACACTAATGAGAATATATTTTTAAGGGCTAGAATATTTGAGATGGCCAGTTGGATTTTATATTTTCTATTTGCAAGATGTGTATTACCTCAACAGTTACTGTGATCCTATAAATCACATTGTTTGAAGAACAATGATCACTGACTTGGCAAGTGGTGTTTACATTTTGGTAACTTTATATTCACTGTGTTAAAGCTAATTGAATATTTATTTGATAAAACGTGCTGAGTGCCTACTGGTGACAGGCACTGGCATAGACACTGGCATTTTAGCAATGAAAAGGTAACATTCCTGCCCTCAAGGAGCTCATAATCCAGTACATTTTTAGTAGTTATTTGTTAAAGTTACACATTCAGGTTAATAATTCAGATAATTTTTTTTTTCTGGTACTGGGGATTGAGCCCAGAGATGTTTTACACTGAGCTCCATCCCTAGCCCTTATTGTTCTTATTTTTATAATTTTGAGACAGGGTCTCACTAAATTGCTTAGGGCCTTTCTAAGTTGGTGAGGCTGGCCTTGAACTTGTGATTTTCCTGTCTCAGCCTCCTGAACCTTTGGGATTACAGGCGTGTGCCACCACACCTGGTAATAATTCGGGTGAATTTTCAAACTTCTCATTTCATCTTTCTTGTGAATCCTGACTTGACCAATCTCAACCTAATTCAGTTCCACCTGTGTGATGAAGTGAAATCCATTGGAGGAATAATAGTAAAAAGAACAGTAGCAGCAACTGGATTGCCATGTAAGTTCTCTATGTGAAAATCTTTCCAATGCTCCCCATCTCTCTTAAACTGAAGGATCTTGAGTTTCTGCAGTGTGTTCCCTCTGACCTTAGTATCTCTTATCATTCTCTAACTACTTCCTCCTCTGCTCCAACCACATTGGGCTCCTTTCTGCTTTTTTGTTTGGATCAATCTTCCTCCTTGTATCTACATAGTACTCCCTATCTTGTGTTTTGATTTTGTCTAYGTAGACTTTTACAGTCAAATACACTATCTGTTTTACAATCTAACATAACATAGTATATTTACACTTATTTATGGTCATTTCTACCACCAGGCAGGTCTGAGTTTTGTATCCTACTTCTGGAACCTAGAATACTTCCCAGGAAATAGTAGGTGCTCCCATATAATGTTTGTGAAGGATTCATATGGATGTGTGTGATTACTTCATTTCTCTCATGGCTCAAGAGGTGAAGTAGTAATTGTTCTGGGAAATGTATTAACTGCCTTCTGAGAAATGCACTAAACTTTTGGGCTACTATGTTTAAATATTAACTCATAATTGTCAGTTGGGAAAAAAGAGAATTGAATTATATGTTATACAGACCTACAATTTAGTAAATAGAAATTAATGCTATTGTAATTAGAGTTGGATGGTCTGTGTTGGACTATCTCATGTCTATTAAGCAAATTCCGTAATGGGTATTATAATGTGAATGACTGTAATTTCCTTTGACTATAAAATATAATTGTTATCCCATTCTGATGTTAGTAATTAATTCTATAATCCTAAGAATTTGAAATAACCTTCAATATATTTATAGAGATCTTTGATACATATAAAAAGTAATTTCATTCTCTGCTCCTAGATTTATTTTCATGAAGAGCTCTTATTTATGGAAAATTTTAGAAATTCTTCTAATATTTTTATTTTTCTTTCTCCATATGATAGTTGTTTTGACATTGCTTTACAAATTACCCTTTAATTTTTTGGCCACATTTTCTCAGGTATATTCTGTAGACAAATTTTCTATTTTTTTTATTTATAATACTTTTCTTTCCACTACTTACCAGGTAACTGAGAAACTTTATGCTAGGTATAGCTCAAACAAAGGGAGCATCAGGAAAATAAAATAAAGCTTTTTTTTTTTCTGGTTCATCAATGACTTTTGGATCTAGAGAACTTTAACCAATTGCTATGAATGTGAGGTAATTATTTTTCAATCAAGATATGAAAAGCAAAAGAACAATTTTCATCACTGAAAGAAAACTCCACTTAAAGAGACCTGCCAGATTACCTAAAATTCTCCATTTTCTTTGAAAAGTTTACTAACATACATGGCATTGTGGATGGCTAGATAAGCATAATTTATATACTGCTGGTTAGTTTTTAGAAGTATATGTTTAACAAAACTTGGGTTTGTTAATTCCTTACCTTGTTAATTCCAGTTTACTTGTTACTATAACAAAATAATACAGTTAAATATACACAAAGTGATAATTATTATTGAAAAAAGTGACATTTCTTCTATAAGAGACAAGTTGAGCACTTTGGAAAGTTTTGTTAAAAGTGAATGACTAAATAGATTAGGGAGTGGGCAAGATAATCATAAGGGGTGAGGGAATCATGGAAACCCAGAATGCTGTACTCAGTTTGCATCACAAAAGTCTTATTGTCTTTTTTTTTTTTTACTTTTTAGAAGCTGATACTGCAAATATTAGACACTTTGTTGTGATTACAGTTTTTTTATATAAATACTCATGAAATATGAAGTAGAACCCCAATCAATGAATTCATAATTCATTGACAACTGAACAATATTTATGTGTTAAGTTGCTTGTTTGTTAAAATTTTTCCAATGCAATAGACTGTTAACCAACTCATCAATTAGTGGTACTGAGCAGGTTGGAATAGAGACTTTTACTATACACACAAACACATGCACACACATAAAATTAAGAACAGACAAATCAATGGTTAATTAACCTCAGATACCTTGTTTATGTGCATGATGAACTAAAAGCACAGAAGCCAAAATGTAGATCACTTTCAAAATATTAACTATTTGAAGTATTTTCATCTTTCAAAAAGTAATACAAGACTCTCAGCTGAGTAGGGATGCAGAAAAAGAGGTCTTTCTAATAATATTTAAACAATGCATTGACTGAAATGAACTTTTTAAAAGAGATTTTCCATGGTATAGTATAAAAATCAACATTAACTTTTTAATTTAATAAAATTTCAATTTTATGTAAGGGCATAAAATAAACAAAACTCAGAACTGTGGATTAAATCAGGTGTGGAATATTTAGTTTGGGGGGGGCACCAAAAAGGAGCTCTGTTAGGTTTTCCCATTTATGTTAAAAAGCAATGAGAATATTGGTTGGAAGATATGGGAAGAAAAAGTTGGGAGACCTGATAATCATTTTTTCATAGCAAAAATGAGAAGGCATTATTTGGTTAGTCCCAATGAATAAATGTCATCTTAAAGTAWCTATCCTGAGAGGCTCCTGCACTTTCAGAGTGGCTTTGAATATCTGGCAATCGCTAGAGAGTGCAGCTATTTTATCCTTATTTTGAAGGGTATTTTATGTGTGTCGAGTGCTAGCTTAAACTGATAACCGTGCCATCAGAGCAATCCCCTTCTTGGAGCCTGAGAAAAGCATATGAAAGTGTCTCACCAGCATTATATCTCCTCAGCCATTCATCAAAGACAGCATCAGTGAAAGTATGCAGAAGGACAAAAATGGGGTCATTTGGAGACAAATGGGTTTGTCCTCCTGTCCCATTCAGGAATAGATGGGCCAAATTGTGAAGACTCCGAACAGCAGGGTCATACTTCCCTGTTGGATCACTGTAACCTAGATTTAAAAGTAAGTATGAGAACAGTAGAAAATGCTGCAGATATTTCACTTTTCAAATCAACAGCAGTGATCATGTAGAGAAACAGTTATCCAATGTTTTTCAGGCCAAATTTTGCATTAATATAATAGCATGACTTCTCAGTTCCAATGGCTGATGACATTTGCTTGTTATATCCAGAACTAGGTTAGTTTTAAACTAGTGGCATGACATTCTAAAGGTAACCTCTAGGTTAAAAATAATGACCTGCCAAGCATGTCAGTCAAAATTTACACAACATTCTATCTTGACAAGGCAGACATTGTTCTACATGAAAATAAAGATAGTAGAGATCTCCAGGTGTCACTAAAAATTGCTGACACAATTGGAAGAACACCACTTTGTTTGTCCTGAAACTTAAAATGCCAGATGTTASTTTTGTCTCCAACCTCAACTCTTTTTCAATGACTGTCAGCATGTTTATTTTTAGAAAATTATTTTTTTTTTGTAGGGAATTTAACATGTCTCGGCACTTTCCTACCATTTCTGTACTAGTTTTAAACATCTGGAAAATCTACTGTCAAAACATTTATAGGATTTTTGATAAATATTTCACTATATTAAGGAGAAAATGAAGATAGATGCCAAGAAGATTGCAAATATAAGTGAAGAGTTATATGTGTTTGAGTGGCTTGAAGAATGCTGTATAGGTAAAGCCATTCATTCATTTATTCATCTTTCATGCATTTATTCCTTTATATTTTGATAACAGGAAATATTTAAAGATTGTTTATAAWGTACATAAAATGTATGAATTTTCATATGTTCTGCTGCCAGGAAATCAGTATAATTTATCTTCTATTAGGCATTAATAAAACAATCTGTATATTCTCTTAGAAATCAGTCTACTTAGTTTATAAATTCTAGTTTAGTCAATATATAGTAATTATCTAGGGAATCATCTCCAAATGATTGCATTTATGTAGTTATTAAATTTAAAACACACTTAAAGGTAGATAAGAATGACATATGCTTTTGATAATAAAAGGGGAGAGATTTAATTATCATGTTTATCTATCAAGTATCTCAGATCACAGGAGAGAGACCTGTGCTCATTTTCTGAGTGGCAGGGTAGGTAGCAGAGCACATCCTCTAATGTGTGCAATGCTGTCTTTAAGGAAAATTTGAACAATAAGAAGTTTATATTAAAGTTACATGTAATTATATTCCTTTAAAAATTTAAATATATATCAAGTATGATGTAGAGTATCAAAATTTATTATTTCAAGACATTGGACTTAGAAAGTTTGGATTTGAATCTGTGTTCTGTTACTAAGTAGCTAATTATCTCAGGAAAATCCTTTCACTTCTTTCGATTTCAGTTTTCTCAGCTTTGAGATACTTGAAAAATGTTGGTGAGCAAGAAAGCTCAAATTAAAAGTCAGAAGAAGATAAATCAATTTTTTAGTAAGTGTTTTTAAAAAGTTACAGGATGATAAAACCTATATATAACAAGCCTAAATGGGGTTTTAGAGAATGTCAACTAATTGTTTGAAATTACTTTAAATTGTTATTTTGACTTATTAAAGAACATTTTTTTTTTTAAATGTCAATTCTTGAATATTATTTGCCAGGGCTAGACTTGGATATAGTCGCACATAATGGCCAGGTTGYTGCCAGAAATTTGACTTTAAGGGTTTTTTTGGTGTTTAAGAGTGGAAAATAATTTTCAGTGTCTTCCTCTGTAATTATTACATGGAGTTTCATAGTCTGACACTTCAAGAAGCTTCTTTTTTTGAGCATAAAATTGTGAGTAAATGATACCAGTACTCATTTCATAGGAACTCACAGGACCWATATGCCATTCAAAGCCTTTTCAGAGAGACCTGATTTTGAACCCGGCAGCTTCCTCTCCAAAGCACCGATTTAGTTTACTTGCCTTCCACTGTGTTCCGGAAACTGTTTGTAGAATTGGAATAAAAAGGAGGTGTGTCAAATACACCAACTTCCAAGCACTCAGCGACATCCTGTGGTGCGGGAAGACGCTGCACCATGGGTCGGCCCACATTTCCAGCTGGATTTCTCCTGATTGGCCCACCCTCCGTGCCTGGGGAAAAAAGAGGGCAAACATTTATAGGATGCCCAGAGGTCTTGTCCTTACTCTCTAAAARTTCTGTTGTTATTGTTTGCTCATTTGTTTGTACTAGGAATTGTATCCAGCTCAACTACTGAGCTACATCTGGGTCCTTTTATTTTTTTGTGACAGGATAAAGCTGGCCTTGAACTTGTGTTCCTCCTGTCTCAGCCTCTGGAGTAGTTGAGATTGCAGGTATGTGCCACCACCCCCAGCTCTAAAACTTCATGCACAGCATGAACACTGAAAAATAGGTTTTCCTTGGTAGGAAACAAATTTTATTTTTTTTTTTCATGAGAATATAACAAAGTGAGAATTCCATAAAAAATTGGATTTTGCTGAAATTATCTCCCAAACCTAGATTCGGCAATAAATTCTCTCTCTCTCTCTCTCTCTCTCTCTCTCTCTCTCTCTCTCTCTCTCTCACACACACACACACACACACACACACACACACACACACACAATTTCACACCAAAATGCCATTTGTTTCAAGTCTTCAGAGGCCTAAGGGGGGAAAAAAATCCCCAATCACTTCGTAAAGTAGTGTGCATTTCAATAAGTACACATTCTTCAGCTTTTTCTTCAATTAATGTGATAAATAATTCAAGTTTCTGAAGAGTAGGAACAAATAGGTAAACAAAGAGCTGTGTTACTAGGGATAGATAATATGATAGGAACTTTGAAGGGAGTGAAGAAGAGAGGAAGGATGATGGAGGGAGAAAGAGAATGAGAGAGAGAGAGAGAGAGAGAGAGAGAGAGAGAGAGAGAGAAATTCTTTCCAGTCAGATGGCTCCAAAACGATTTCATAAACAAGCGATTTATAAAGAACTCTGAAGGGTTGAAAAGAATTTCCATAGAACTAGGAGGAATTTTACTAAGTAAATCATTTTAGGCAGAGGAAATAATGAGGGGTCAAGCTGCTCTCTTCTATTTATACAGAAACCTTCTCAGAAGAACTCTTCTGTCCTTGCTCAGCAGTGTGCTCCTTGGTCTTCACAGTGCCTGGCATTTACAGCAATTGTTGGGTGTGTGTTGCTGATTGGGAAGGCTCTTGATGGATGTAAAAAATGCTTGTTTGGAGAAGAGCCTTCCAGGAATATGTGGCAATAGAGGAGTGTAGTGGACTGTGGGGAACAAAGGGAAGCTAGACCAGAGCCTTATTGTGAAGACATCAAGTAGCAGGAACAGAAAGTTATATTTAATTCATTAGGAAGAAATTAGACTGGTGGGAGGAGAGGAGATTGACTAGGAGCATTTTGCATCATTCTGTCCCACTGGTCTCCAGAGAGAAAAATATATGCCCTAAAGGAACAAAAAAATATAATTGGACTGGGAGAGAGAGTATTGCAACTTCAACTCACATTCCACTTACTTTGTTCATAAAACTTCCTATATTGCATAGTAATTAACATAATTATTACTACCTGATGAATTAGCATAATGAACTTTATATAATATATAAATAAAAAATACACCTATACTGAGATTGGAAAGTATATGTGCATTTTTATTGGGGTTACATCATCACCCAAATTTTTCCGAAATGACTAGTTAAACTATCAATGTGAGCTGATATTTTGAGGATTACTGTTTAGGGAGTTATCAATAAATCCCCCTTCCCAAAATTGTATGGATTAACTTGAATTTCTAAGTACTATATCCTAATTTYCCCTTGTGGAATTTCATAGTAAAGAATTTCGAGAGTAAAGAAAATATTTAAGGCTATTTATTTAACTGTCTCCAGTTATTTTTAAATTTTTTTAAACATGAACAAATATTCACATCCAGCGTGTCAGAGTTCTATGGAATTTAACAAGAATGAATAGAAAATTCTGAGTATTTGAAGGAAAAAATAGATTTGAGCAATGTGGCATAAAAAGAACTACTTTTCATTTGATTAATCAAAGATGATATTTTAGTAGCTCGAAGAATGTTACATGTCAATAAATCACTTTTTCAATCAACCAAGTGGAGTGCAAGAAGAATATAAACAATGAGATAGCTGAGGAAATATTGATCTGATATAATATGTATGGGTTTCCTACAAAGATGATCAATGAAACCACAAGAATAAATAGGATTTTCCAAGAGGAAAAGTAGAGAGAAGAAATAATTGCTGTGAGGATTAAAGATACTAAAGCACACACACTATGAGATATATAATGTATTCAATAAAAGTTTAGTTTCCCCTTTTCTTTTCYTTAGCTAATAAATAAAATATTTGGTTTTTATATATTGAACTGAGACCAGGGTAATTTTAAAGTTTGTTTCACTGCAAATAATTGTTAATTTGTCATAAAACTATGTCTTTGAATTTTGAGACTTGTTCTATTGATAGAAAACCTGTGATGAAAATAAAACATCTTCACTTTATTGAATTGTCCTTTTTTTGGGCACCCAATCRTAAATATGATTAGAAAATGCCTGGAAAACTCTGAAGTCCAAATATAACAGCTTTGGTATGCGCTTCCAGTTAATTTCTCTGCCACAGGTAGAATAACTYAGCCTGACAAAAAATACAAATTTATTTGAATTTTTAAATTTCCATAGAGGAAAATTATATTATATAATTATATATAGTTATATATAATTTTATYATATAATTATATTATATAGTATCACATATTTTTATTTCTATAAACAGCTAAATACTCTTTCAATGGTGAAAATTATACACCTATTTCCTTCTGTTCTATTTAAGGTTACTTTCTCTGTCTCTTCCTCATTATTTTTTGTCTGTTTTGTTTTGTTGGAGTATTTTTGTTTTGTTTTTCAGTGCTGGGAATCAAACTGTTGCTGTAGAGGATTTTTTTTTCAGTGCCTTGCACATTATTAGAATATTCTCTTTTTAAACTTATAAAAATAATTTAACACTTAATGAAGGAAAATATGTGTAGAAAAATGTTCTGAGTATAAATACCCATGCTTCTAGTTTTTATATGGAAGAGCAAATGTTCAAAATAGCCCAAAATGCCTGAAGAAGAAAAATAAGTTGGGGTAGGAGACTTAGATATTTAAGACCTAATGTTAACAGTACAGAGATAAGTAATATCATCCAAGGAAACTCAAGAACAGATTCACAAATTACAGAAACTTATCCTGTGAAAGGAACATCAGTTTCCTGGAGAAAGGATGCTGGGGAAACTGGTCAAGAATTCTCTCAGGTTAACCTCAGGAGGGRCGCAATGTGGCTCACTGGTGGGCAGCACCTATATGGTACCTTTCTTTTCTGAAAAATGTCCCCTTTATCACCTTTGGCTTTTAACTCTATTGAATAACCACAAATATTTTTGTGTTTTCTCCTCCTTTTCTCCCTCCCTCCCTTTCTTCTTTTTTCTCCTCTCARAGCATTTCCAAATCTTTTTTGCATACTTCAGATTTTCTTCGGAAATATTTCTGTGAAATTTCAACCCAAGACACATGACTACTAAGCAGAACTGGATATACTAAGAATATTAATTTATACAACTGGCCATTGCTAAAAATAAGGAAGTTAGCAATATCCTGACTGAATTAATCAAGAAAAATGATGTGAAGATAAATATCTGTTTCCTGGGATCACCTTGGAGGTGGCCTTGAATATCCCAGGTGCTCAGGTGAGGATCTGTACATGGATCCTCTATGGGGATAGTACCTTTAATTCTGAAGTCCTTAATGGAATGAAGGATCTTCCAGACAGCATGTTTACAGCATATTTAATATCTTTATCTAACAAGGAGTTCTGATTACTAGTTGTCACTGGAACTTACTGTTACAGAGTGTCCCCAGGGTGTCATAATCTTCCAAGGATTCACAGACCACTCGCCATTGAGAAAAGACCGAGTTGGGGCTTACAAGAGTGGAATCGAAGTTGCTTCTTGATCCCATCAAGTCATCAGTGCAGATATCACAGATGTTCTTCCCAGTTGCAAAATTCCAGTAGGGAAGGGAGAAAGAAGGCTCCTGCAACATTTCCTAGGTCACAGAAACTCTGTTAGTGTTCTCTGGCTCAGTTGCACTCTTCCTCTTTGCTTGTTTTACTCTCTATTTCTATTAACTCTCTTTAGCCACTAAGGAACCAGTTAGTGTGTCATTGGTGACAGAAAGTCCCAGACAAGTTAAATACCTTAGTTAACAAGGCTTGCAATTCACTCAAAGAATCCACATAGGCATGAAAGAGAATAAAATTCAAATCATCATGCAGAAATTTTTGTAAATAATTTGGAAGAAAAACTTCTTTCTTTTTTTTTGGACAGGTATTCATATTTCTATTGATTATTCCRAAATTTATCCATAATAGCATCCACTACTTGACATTTACATCTTCTTCCATCTTCCTGTCTTTAATTTAAACATCATTAAATTGTAGTCTAGTTCCAGATTTTACCTTGAAATGTGTTTTGTGGAATCCCTATTTTTGTTTTGTTTCTATTTTTAATTGAATTTGAATGACTATAGAAAATTAGATTCTGGCTTTATAACAGGCCAAGATCTCTTTCACATTTACCTTATCTACATGGGCCCTAAGGATGTTTTGTTTTGATGTTTTGAGACACCCACTGCAGAATCTAAACTACCAAGACTGAGGCTTCTGCCTAAGAGACTCATGAACAAAGGAATGCTAAATAGAAGTAGAATAAATCTTTGTGCCTATTGTTCTTTTGACCAAAGATCTAATAATCATTTATAGCTTATCTTATATTTAAAAAAATGCGTGGGGGTGCTGGCTCACACCTGTAATCCCAGCAACTCCAGAGGATGAGGCAGGAGGATCCTGAGTTCAAAGCCAGCCTCAGTAAAAGTTTCACTAAGCAAGTCAGCGAGACCCTGTCTCTAAGTAAAATGCAAAATAGTCTGGGGATGTGGCTCAGTGGTCAAGTGACTCTGAGTTCAATCCCTAGTATCCCCCCACCCCCCAAAAAATGCTGAGTTAATTTACTTATTTATCATCTCTTTTGACCTTTGAGGAGTTCTGTACAGAGGATGAAATTTAAGTGCAGAATTGCCATTATTTTCTCTTACTTCCCAAGAACTCAGTACTTTATGTCTTTWCATTTTAAATTCCTTTCTAGGAAAACTTTTCTTATGCTTTGTTGTTTTAGAATGCCGGAAGCTTTTCTAGGCTCCAAGTTATTGATCTCCAAGGGTCTGTAGTCCTCGTTTAGAAGCCATCATTGCATTTTGCCAAAATTACTGACAGCTTCTAAGGGATCATTAAGAATCAGACTGTGGTTCAGCAACTGACATTTGGGAGCCAGAGAACATTCCTGTGGCATTTCAACTGTATAATACGCTTAAATTGTAATTCGTTGGATGCCTAATGCTGCTGGGTTTTAAAAATGCAAATCAACATGGTTGAAGTTTACCTAGGCAAAATTGAAGCTTTTAGATAGTTTCTAACTGCCCTTTCATTTTGGTGTGCCCATGGGAATTGAAAGCATGAAAATCCGGAGTCAATTACAAATGACAGATTTATCTACTCATAATCTACTAACTGTCTAACTTGTAATCAGAGCTATAAAGTATGATGTTTGGAGTACCAGATGAATTCATTTAATCACTCTCAAACTGTGTAAGGATAGACCACTTTAAAACAAATATATTTTTTATGTTAGAGGGTTAATTATCTCTCTTCTAACCATTTTTYCCCCCTGAAATAATGCTGGCACAAGCATTCTGCAAAAACAACATTTCTATTTTCGTATCATTTTAGGTTGATTTTTGGATTTTTACTTTGGGGGAGAAATTCATTACTATTATTTTATATAGGAAACAGGTGTAGCATATGGATTTCCTAGCTGAGATCTAATCATTTAAATTTTTAGTTTAAAATTACAATACTTTTCTCAAGAAACAGAGCAGTTGGAAAAAAGAAGGACAATAAATCATTTATGTTACCAGATTCTTTAGTGTGTTTTGAGTGCATTTGCTTAAAACAAAATAAGCATGAGATAACTATGCCTGACTTGAGGTCTATTTTATGCCAAAACCAAAACCCCCAGAGGTCTTATAATTAAAAATAATGCTTGATTGATATGGGTTTTTTTTGGGGGGGGTAGAAATTGTATATATTTAAGGTGTACTACATGATGTTTTTAAATATTTTTATACACAAACACATACATATAGGTGTGGGTATATATATATGTATATATATAATGATTATTACATTCAAGGAAATTAATATATCCATTGATATGATGTTTTGAAATAGGCTTCTGGTGTAAGCCCGAAAGTCGTAGTTGGGAAAATATATATATTAATGAAATTATATATATATATATATATATATATATATATATATGAAAATAAAACAATCTAAATGGAAACTTTTTCCATTATTTAAACTCTACATCATATTGGAAAAAGTCAGCAACTGGTATGATGAAGTACATATTCAGGACTCAGGAAGTGAGGAGAAAAAGTATATATACACTCACTTCACCCAGATCAAGAGAGGCATTTACTTACATTTGGTAGAGAAGACGTGCCAAATGGGACTTTTTTGTTTCATATTTCACTAGAGATATTTTCTCAATTATGGAGTTGTAGAATATCTCCATATCTTTCATCCACACCTAAAGATGTCTTAATTGGCTTTGTTACTTGACAAAAGACCAAATTTAGTTAATATGAATTCAGTAGGGGAGAAACAACTCAATGTTACAGGCAGATTAATAACATAAAATTACTCTATCATTATGTATTATGGTGTTTTGGAAAATCATTGAATTAAAATGACTTCTAAACAGGGCATTTCATCTGTAAAGAACCTGAAAATTAAATGGCCGTATGCATACCTGCATGTCTCTCTCCAGCTGCAGTAGGTGGTACCTGTGCCAGGTAAGAAAAGCTGGTCCTTCATGAGAGAAATCCACCCCACCAAAGCTCTCCTGCCCTGCCCCCAAGAAAGTCTTTTTGACTGAATAATAGTGTGTCCAAACAAAGTAGTTATAAATGGAAATGTTCTCAAATTGTGGTGTGTTGCCATCTGGTCCCAGTATTTCTTCTGATCTCCTGGTAGCAATGACGAATTGAGGGTGAGTTGTGCGCTTTGCCATATCCAGGGCCTGGACAAAGTGGTTCTTTTCTTCTGCACTTAACTCGAGAAGATTTCTCCTGACTTGAGGGATAAAAGATTGAGATATGAAAGCATTTGCTTTGAGGGAATGGGTAGAGAAGCAGCATAATCATGCTGTAACACACTGTGTCCCACTCACCCAATGATGGTTGTATGTGCAATATCTATGTTAAAATCTGTTTTCAGTTATTTTACAAGTTGAGCATCCCTTATCTGAAATTATTAGAACCAGACATGTTTTCAACTTTGGATTTTGAAATATTTGGGTTTGGGATATATGTCCAAAAGACAGAATCAATTTCTTTAATGTATATCTTATAACCTGAAGGTATTTTTGACAATAGTGTTTTTTGAAGGAGGTGTTACCAGGGAATTGAACTCAGTGACATTCGACTACTGAGCCATATCCCCATCCCTATTTTGTATTTTATTTAGAGACAGGACCTCACTAAGTTTCTTAGTGCCTCACTTTTGCTGAGGCTGGCTTTGAACTCCCAATCCTCCTGCTTCAGACTCCTGAGCCCCTGGTATTACAGGCATGCRCTACCRTGCCTGACTTGACAATAGTTTTAATATTTTTATTGCATAAAACAAAGTTTCATGGCATGTAATTTTCTACTTGTGGCATTATGTCAGGGATCAAATAACTTTGGATTTTAGAGCACTTCAGCTTTGTGATTTTGGATAATCAACCTGTGTATTTAAAAAAATACCCTAACTAAAACTCCTTCCAGCCTGTTTTGTTCCTTTTTATTTTCCTTCTCTTCCTGCTCTCTTTTCTTTTTTTTTTCTCTCCAATTTACTCTAGGTTTTCTATTAGCTTTCTCTAACTTTCCTTGTAGTTTCTATGATTCTGTTATCCTGACATACTTATTTTGGCCCAGTGTTAGCTTTTTTTCTTGGAATTTTCTTCTTTTTATCGTCATAAGTCTTGCAAAAACAAGGTAGATAGTATTGTCCAGTGGTTAAGACCCGTGAATTAACCTGTGGTCATATTTTTGTGAGCTCATTTTTTTCTTATGTAAAATGTGGATAAAAATAATACCTGCTTTACAGAATTGTTCAGATCAAAGAGCACATGCATAAAAACAATTAAACCAAGTCTAGCTCATGATAAAGACTCAATAAGTATTCTGCTAAACCTTGGTCCCATGTCTAACACAATGAAAACAATGAAGTACTCTGGCTGTTCCTATTTAATGCTTTGTTATATGATGCTCTTTAGGCTGCCCGCCCAGCTTCTCATCTAAAATGCCTGGATTTGATCATTACGGTGGGAAATTTCTTTGTAAGCCAGCAGGGGTAGTTGAAGAAGCTGAAATATTAGAGCTAGATAAAGCTCAGTGTGAATTCCAGATTTACCAAGTGACAGACCTTTCTGAATCTCATATGTAACAATTAATACAAGTACCTTGATTCTAGCACAGTTTCTAGCAGATGGAGGTTGCTCAACAAATGGAAAGAAAATATTATTTGTCAAAAGGTCTGAGCTTCAATTCCAAACCTTTAAATTGAACAAGCTTCTTAATTTTTCTAAGCCTTAGTTTGTTCAATTGGGAAAAAAGCAAGGTGGAGTTATGATTTTCAGGTATTCCTCTAGCTCCAATAATTTTAGAATCTAGAAAGAACCTTGAGTCTCACTCAAGACTGCATCACAATTCCTATCCCCACTTACCTGTGAGAATCCTCTGATTGCAGGCTGCTCCTCTCCACCCAGGACGGCAACTCCCACAATTATGTCCTGAGAAATTGCCATTGCACTGGCATGTCCTATTGAAGAACCTCAGGGGCCAGCCCTCCCGATCATCTCTGCCATCGTGGGGGTACTGGGGGCTGTGGGGTCKCGAGTCTGCAGTCACTGCCTCACACCTGCCCCTCCCTGATGAGGAGCCACAGGGGTCAGTCCCAGGCCCAGATAAAGGGGACAGGTCTGGGCAACACACACCACTTCTCAAAGCCTCAGCAGTAGCACATTCTCGTGGGAACTGAGCCCAGGCCTGTTGAAAAATCAGCAAGGGGAASATCAATCCCAGGCAGAGGAGGTTAGAAGCTTTCATTCTGCTGGAAGCCAAAGTGCAGGACATAGATCTGGTTTGCTGTCCTTAGCATAGAGGAAATGGAGGCGCGTAGATAAAAATCCAACTGAATAAAAGAAAACAAAATGGAATTATGTAAGTATTTCAAAGTACTTTTAAAAAGGGTGTGAACCCTTTCCAACCTACCTTATACATACCTTTATACATGCAAATATAACCTACCTGTATACATTTATAGATAAATGACATTTCAAACACATAGTAAAATTAGGTATTTACCTTTGAAAAATTTATGACTTAACAACTATATCCACTATCCTAGTAATTGAACTTTCTTCATTCTACATTTCTATTTACATAAAAATTACTTATCCCGAATATATCTTATCAAAAGCATCAATTAGCAGGTCACCACATTTCACCAGTGATCTGAAGGGAGAATTGGGAGATTTCCAGCAAGTTAATTTCTACAGTTTAAAGTCCCTCACCCTAGTGGAGTATTGATTAAAATGCACCCAATCTCCATAGAGCATCTCTCCAGTACCTTAAATTCCKGAGACGCTTCTCTGCCAAACTTCCCTAGGAGTTGAGTAGGTTTTATTTGCTTGTCCTCTGATGTCAGAGCTGTTAATTATATGTGGGTTTCTGCCCTGAAAACTAATCCCAGACCTGCTCTCCCAAACTGGGAGGGGCTGGTCCTCTTCTCCACCCTTCACTAATCCCTTCTCACATCACTGGATTTTTCTGCCCTTTAACTACTTGATCAGCACATGATTCCCTTCCCACTGATTTCCTTGTGATGCTTAAAGTTTTAAGAAAAGGTCAGAAGCAGTAATTTGGAAGATAAATCAGAGAAACTACAGACCTTTTGTTTTCATTGTAGAGATTTTTTAAATTTATTTTTTATTTTTATTTTTTATTTTTTTGCTTTGAATGCTATACCTTTAGAGGATGAAACAAGAGTAATTACTTTTTCTTAGTAATACAAAGGTTGGGTTCCTAATTGTACCCGATGGTACCTTTTGATTGTCTTGAAAACACATGTCATTCTTAGAATTTCCAGAGAGAATAATTGTAGTAGTGGAAAAGACATGAGATTCAATTATACCCAGTCACACAGCAGTGGCTCTCAGGGTGCCTGCTCACTTTAGAGGTGGGTACTTTGACTCCATTACCTCCTTCCAGGCTGTGTTCATCTCTGTGGCAAAGCACCATGGAGTCACTAAGGCTTTCATTTTTTTTTTTTTTTTTTGGAACATGCCCATTAAATGGTTTATTATTTCCTACTTTCTCTGCAAGCAGTGGTAAGGCAATGTCCCTGAGGATAATATATATATTTCAGAAGGCACTTTCTCCTGAAGTTGAAAGCTCATGCATGTGAAACCAATCTTCAAATATAAACTTACATTTGGAATACATAATTATTGGGCAAATGTTGCCAGACTTCATGATCAATCTTGGCTACCTACTTGTTTCTAAGCCATAAAATTGTCCCCCCCAAAACTATATAAAACAATTGAGGATCTGGTTACCACAAAAATGACAACTAACACTATTGTCTATGAATCACTGCAAGAAAGAATAAGAGAAATCTTCTGCTTACYGTCCCTTGTTTATGAAGTCAACGTGACTTATTACAACCATATCAATTCATGGTTTTTATGTGTATATGAATCTAAAATGTCATTCTTTCTGTTATTATTTTATTTATTTTTGGTCTGTTATGTATATAACAACCTATTACTGTATATACATAATGAAATAATACTATAAATCATGATATAGTATGCACAGTATTAATAAGTAACACATAACAGAGTTTATTTAAAATTCTTCAAAAGATAGAACAATTGTGATAACTTATCCAATATATAAGGAAAATTTCCTTTTATTTTTCTCTTCTGGAATATTTGCGTCATTAGAATCACAAAAAAGATTGCATCATTATAAAAATTGGCTCCAGAGTCTACATTTTTTTCACTAATACTGTGTCTCTAATGTGTTCCCAAGTTGTTGCACATAAAATACTGTAGTAGTTTTTTTTTATACTATTTTATTATGGCAGTTTAGTTTATCACTGTAAGAATATACTACAATATACTTAACCATTTCTTTTGTTTTATGAATAAAGTGTTATGTATAAAGTCTAAGTATTTCCTGGTAAACACATGTGAATTTCTTCATGACAAATAACTAGAGGGATTGTTTGCCATAGGGCTTGTGAATATTTTCAAGGTAATTCTAAAGTGTTTTACAAAGTGAAGTACCACTTTGTTTTATTTCTATTGGCAGTGTTCAACATTGCTTATTGGTTCACAAGCTCTCTAACACTTTTATTAATAGACATAATTGGCAATTTTATGTACAACAGTCCTCCTGCATCCTTGCTTTCACTGTCCTTGATTTCAGTTACTATGTCCATCTATGCTCTGAGTAAGTGGAAAATTCCAGAAATAAACAATTAGATGTGTGCCATTATGAGTACAATGAAGAAACCATTGGGGTATGAATCATACCTTTGTCCTTTGTATATACAGATTGTATATGCTACCAGTACACTAGTTGCTTAGTAGTCATCATGTTTTCAGAGGTGGTTAAATCATGTGGGGAAATGTTTAAGTAACCCTTATTTTACTAAATAATGGCCCCAAAGTGCAAGAATAGTGATGATACTAATTTGGTTATGCTGCAAAGCATTCAGAAAGTGTTTTCTATTATTGAAAGGTAATTATTATTGATTTAAAAGGAAAAAAAAAGTACGTTGATGTTGTTAAGATCAAGGATAAGAATGAATAGAGCAAAACAGTAAGTATAAGGTTGAGGACTATCTGCAGTTTCAGATCTCCACTGGGAGTCTTAGAGTGTAGCCTCTCAGAGAAATTTGAGGAGACTAGTATACTTCCTGAACTATTCCACTGGATAAATATCATGAAACATCAATATTAATGGTGATATTTTTCATAGATACATTTTATAAGTGAGCTATTCCAATGTAACTACTTTGTTTAGGTCACTTCTCTTTTTACTATTAATGAATTTTCTTATTTTTAATCAAGGCTCAATATTTTGACTAGATGCTTATCAGTCATAGTCAATTTACATCATATAACAAAAGATTATTGTAAACATTAATTTTGTAAAATTCTGAAAAGTTCTAGAYTGAATGTTKCATAAATTTAAATACTGGGCATTTGTCTTCAAGTTTGGGGTGCTTAATTTTAAAGTGCTTTGCTAATTCAAGTGGCTTCAAATACTCATCTATCAATGTCTCAAGGCTTCTTATTCATTTAATGTGAAGTTAATTGTGAAAAATAATGGGTATAAAATAATATTTAGATAGTTTTTTGGTGAGATTTTTTGCCAGATTATCATTTTTATCTCTTGAATAAAGTTAGTAGCAATGTATCAATGCTGGTTTCTTAGTTTTGACAAAAACATATACCAAAGTAATGTGTGTTAACATTAAAGAAAMGTGGATGAAGGACATATGGAAACTCTATATTATCTTTGCAAGTTTTCTATAATTCTAAAATTATTMCAAAATAAAATGTTGATTTAAAAATGTTACTTTAAAACTATATAATCTCATGTACACTCATCTGTACAGATATAAATACATGGTGTTACGTTATGTTGAGAAAAAAATAACTGAGGCTTTTCCTATTACAATTTTTTGTTGTCTAATTTCTACAGTTAGYTTAGGACATTCTGCTCTGAGTCCTACATACAACATTCTAAGACAACAAGACTGGGGAATGCAAAAAGTGCCATAGTTAAGTCATTAAATAGATGAGATTTGTCTAAGGAAGCGAGTACCTTTATTTCTCTGAAACTCATTTCCTCATCTGCAAAATTAAGGTAACAAAGTATATCATTGGGATAAGTAAGCCTAGATAAAAATACCTATTAAAATTCAGACATCAATCAATRCTAGATTAAATAAACAAATCCAAGGTTGTTATCTTAAAGGAGATAAGATACTGAGGTTAATACCCAATTTAAAACTATCTTAGTATTACAGGGATGCATTTTACATAATGCTTTCAGTATTACCAATCAAAAGTAACAACATTCAATCAATATCATCAGTAGTAATAAATAATAAGAATTTTTAAATACCAAAGAAAGAGAAACCTTTGAAATGATATGCTCTATTAATTGTGAAAATCCTAGCATTTGACTACCAGTGGCAAWCCCTACCCCATTTACTAATATCATTCTCCAGTTTACAGGTGTGTGTTTTTTTTTAATGTAAGAGGCTGGTGAAAAAACATGAAGAAAAATGCACTAAATCCTACTTTTTTGTCTTACCATAATCTAGTATAATTACTCACACCACACATCAGAAATGAATGTTAAAATTTATACATTATATAGTTCATGATCCATTGTAGAAATCATTTCTAAGGAAAAATTTTTATAGTGATTTTTTTCTTATGATAGGAAAATGTACCAAGTCTAAAGCATTTGCCTACATCATCTGTCTATAAGGTGAACCAGATAATACATTCATAAAAATGAATAATTACTTGTTACAAGTTGAAAACGAATAATTACTTCTTACAAGTTAAAAATAGAAAATACTCAAAGAGTCTTAGATAAATGATACTGATGAACTGCATAAATTTTAACTCAGTATTTATTCACTCTTAAACCATGGGAGCAGCTTTAAAGATAACAGGAATTAGGTATAAGAAACAGTGATTGATAGAGAATTAAATGTTGTGTTGTTCAGAATATATACATTAGCAACATAATAAGATCAAAAAGTCGATATCATTGGTATGCATGTCTTATATTCATAGTTGATGCTTAGATCATATCTCAGGAAAAGGAATTAATCCCTTATTCCCATTTTTTGAAGTCTTGTGATTATTATTTATGAAAGAATTAGTCCAATATCTAAGTGATAAAGAGCAAGAATTTAGGTTAATTTGAAGAGAGAGCATTTTAGAAGCGTCTGTATTTTCCATGGAAATTGATAATGAATATTAATCTTTTGTGATCATTTATAGCAAATGATACTGAATATGTTAATTGTTCAATTGGATTACATGTTATTAAATTATATCCTTGGTTGTACTAAGCTTAGATTAATAACTAGAATTCC